CTCTACTGACTGAGCTAACCGGGTGCCTGTTCAGATCAACTTTTTAATGTAAAATAAACAATTACCATACAGTAATCGTTATATATATATTTTTGTGGGTGCCCCACCTTTTTTGGGGGCTCAGCCACTTATGTTGCCAGACCTGGTGACACAGTTATTTCTCTCTTTTGTTCTCACGTCTCGTTTACTTACATTTGTGAGTTTATTTGTGCCTGATGTATATCATACCGTATGTATACCCTATCTAAGTCCTTCGTCAAGTTATCTCCTGTTGTTCTTGCAGGTTCACCTACACAGAGGATCCAAACTATGGTCCATTCCTGCAGAGTGTGAACGGTTTGCCTGGAGGTAAACAGAACCGTACCTACTGGGAGCTGCTGGTCAACACAACAAAAAACCCAATCATCAGACCTGATGTTGGTGAGTCAACCAAGAGGATGTTTATCTGTCTGTCTTCTGTCATTATACAGAGATATACAAGCAAAAATTTATTTTTTTCTTACTCTCACTGTTACTATTTTAATACTCTGTTTGCAGGTATCGGATGTTACATTCCTAATGCAAATGACCAAATCATCCTGAAATACACCAAGTACTGAAGAATCAGCAGCCACAGGACATCAAAATGGGACCAGAATCAGATTCAAGTGTTTCATTATATGTTTCCTAGCTTTTATTCAGCTAAGATGCATTGTCTTGAATGTGTGATCATTATTTTATGGGATTTCACCTTCACCTGGAATATCTTGGCTTAAGAACTACACGGTTTCCTGCTCATTACTCAGTCTGTGGAATGACACTTTAATATACTTTATTATGCTTTCTAGATAGCAGGGTTAGGGTTAAAATAAGAACAGCATCCTTTACAGCATTAACTGATTTTTAGGTAAGGTTAATTCTATTTTCTGGTCAAACTAAAAAACAGAGCACTGTTACGGTCCAATCAGTGCTTTTCCTGCATCTAGCTTTTAGATGTTAGTCATTGTTGTTCATCATTGTCCAACACCTGACTGATGACAGAAATGCAATGACAGAAACGCCTCCTCCTGTCTTGTCAGAGGTTCTGAAGTTTGTACGATGTGAATTTTGTCTTTGCTGGTTCCTAAATAACTCACCAAAAACCGAAGTGTACAATATGTATAATTTTCTGCTTGTGAATACCATCTTCAGAAACACGTAACAGAAACACAGAGATTCTTATTTTCAGGTGATTATACACTATAA